AAAATCTTCCGACGTTTTTCAATGCTCATTTGGGGCTGTCCATAAATGATGTCACACTTACATTTTGGACACCCCTCCCCCCTTTGTCACATGTCACGCAATATTACGTAAACTTATACTTGCAGTTCAAAAACGTAGCACTACGTTATAGATCATATTTCAGACTTTATTTTTAAATTTAAACTATATGTTTTAATGACATCTGTAAATATAACAATAATAATGATTCGTGCACTTATTTTGTATGAAATAAGAGAAAAGTTTACAGCAAAAACATAATTAATACACAATAGCAATAAAATTACAATTTCTGCCGCTACCCTATTCTCAAAACCTACTCTGAATGCTTTTTTTTTTTTTTTTTTTTTTTTTTTTTTTGGAAAGAAAGGAATGTAAGTAAAAAAAAAAAAAAATCACATGAAAGTTGCTTTCGCCCCAATTAAGGAAATACCTTCAAATTTTGGTAATTTTAAAATAACTTCAAAATTCAATCTGCTGATTTTAAACATTTTTATTTTAATCAAAATATGATTCCCCCCGTCTTGTCACAAACTGTCACAATTTCACTAACCCCCCCCTCCAAGCGTGACATCATTTATGGACGACCTCTTTCACGAAATTGATAGAGCACCCATCGATTTTGCTGCACCTGCACACAAGACACAACCGAAAGCGAAAATGTTTCCATCCATCCACTTCCCGCGCCAATCCTCCCAACCCCCACTGGCCATCAAAGACAATCTACACAAACCCAACACCAGAAACAACCCGCCGCGCTCTCCTGCTCCTCAGACACTTCCGTAGTTGACATGTTTTCTGATATTCAAAATCTTACTCCGTACAGATAAAATCAAACACGTGGTGACGTGGCAGAGTTCCCTCAGTGCGCAAAATCTCTAGCTGCATATATTTCAGTACTCCAAATCGTTACTAGGGTACTTCGGTACTCCAAACTGTTACTAGGGTATTCCGGTACAGCAAACCGTTACTCCGGTATTTCGTTACTTCGGTTTTCCAAATCGTTACTTGGGTACTCGGTACTTTTCAAAGTAATGGTTACTTGAGTAGGCAAAGTACGGGTATTTTGTACCGGGTACTAGTCTGTACCCGTTACTCTCGTACCGGGTATAAGAAAGTACCGAAGTTGCCCATCACTAGTCTGGATCCTTGTCTTCATGCTTCCATTTATTGGAAAATCCTCCTCGTCCTTCACATTGTGCCCATTCTTCTCGCAGCTCATTCTCTTGTTTTATGAAGCTCGAAACCGTAGTCCTTGCCAATCTGGTAAATTCCACCAAACGACAATGACTAGTGTTTCGTGGTTGCTGCTTGATCTTATCCAGTAAACAAATTTTTTTCAGCTAACGTCAAGTCCCATTGTGGCATTTTGCCAGGGGAGACAATAAACGCATACAGTTCACTGACTAAAGTGGTCTGAAGAAACCTTGGTGTTTCGGGGTTAAGATTTTGAGGTCAAGAGCGATATAAAATGCTTGCCATTCAAAACTTTAGCACTAAAATCATCCCAAAAGGATGGTGAAATGATACCTTTCTTGTGTAAACTTTAATCAAGGTTGACAGTCTGGAATTCCTTTCAGGTGGAACTGGTTTCTCTATTGTTCATTTCCTCAAAAATCAGAGACGCAGTGGGACCAATAACCTCGCTGGCGGCTACTGATGGCTCTGTTTTAAGAAAGGTCGAGGAAAATGGTGTGCATGTTCACCTCCCACTGATTTTGCTCTTGTCATGAACTTTAAAGAATTCCTCACTTTTGATAAAGCATTCTCCTGGGGAACACAGCTACAGATCCTCCCATATGCCGCAGACCGCCTGCACATCTGCTGTATGCGGCCAAATTGTGACTTCTCTTTCTTACTTGCTCTCACGTTTTTTGGTCCGATTAAACGGCGAATAAGTGAATAAATAAGCGAATATTATTAGGCTTATATACATAGGATTTGTTTCAGTTATTTAGGATTCAACCCGAAAAAGCGGCTGGTCCAATTATCCGGTGATCCAATTAACCAGATTCGAATGTATATCCGACATTTTAATTTAGGACGACTTACATGCATTGCTTTAAACAGTTTTATCATTGTCCCCATTGCTTTACACAATTTAATCATCTGATATTTAATTTCTTAAAACGTTATTCATATTTTAATCAAATATTTTATTTTTGAAATTGCAAGAATAAATACCATAAAAAGTAAAAAGTAAAAAAAAAAAAAATCTTAATGGCTTGCTCTTTTTCTTCCCCCCTCCACAGGCATTCTGCAAGTATATTAAAAAGCATCCAACTATTTTAAACATCTTGGTATTTCTGAAAATAATTTTAAATAAAATTATCACCTTCCATTTCAAAAGGGCCCCCAAAAGGCTGAGTGGTAAAGTCGCTGAATACTGGTAATTCGCTCCAGGGTTCGAATCCCGGCGAACGGGCTGGTTGCATGGGCGTTTTCATGGTTTTTCTCATGTGTAACAACGAGCTGGTTTCCGCTTAGAAAGTTCTTTACGAAGGCATCTCTCCTTTTAAGCAGATAGCTCAGCCCGTAACTTATTAATCCAAATCAATCCATTTCATCAGTATTTGGTCACAGCCTTTATCAGTCTTTAGAGGCTAGGCATTTTGAAGGCATGCCATGAAAGGAAAGTCTATTTCATTCAGAGGGAAAAACGTCTTTAGATGACATCCATATACGTCACTGGATAAATTCCTGAATCTTCAAATAATTCGACTGAGAAATTATGCGGTGCTCCGTTTGTGATACAATATGATGTTCTAGGTCATAAATTAAATTTATACAAACATATAGTGGAAAACCAGTCACATTTCACTTAAATCTGCAGTGATATCGTTTTTGTCTTTTCCGTTAGCACAAACTCAGTTGCTGCTATTTGTTTGTGTACACGTCCAAGTGTTTTCTCTTTGAACGCCCAACTTCCTTGAAGTAGATTCCCATTTACATTTTTGCTTTTTTCCTTCTACATTTGTTTTCAGTGCTGACACAAGAAAATTAAGACTTTTCCGATTTTTACACTTCCATAAATTTTGCATTCTTGTCAAATTTTTTAAAATATCAGTTGCATTAAATGCGTTACAGTTGAAGACAGCTTCTAGACATTTTAACTATAAATAAAGTTTAAAGTAAAGTCCAAAGGATAAATATTTGATTTTATGTCAAAATACCTATGTTAGAATGATGCTATACATAAATCCAATATATATCCTAAGTCGCGCGTTCGAGACATGAAAAACGCAATTTGAATTTCGTCAATTGGCCCAGTAGAACGGGAGATATAGAACTGTATCCCTTTTTTCGCCCACAGTGTACTTAACAAAGGATTAGCTAATTATTTATGTTGCTATTAAGCTGTTACCTGCAGATACTAAGCAGGATGAGTCCAGATGGAATGTACTAATATTCTGGTACTACTTGATCTTCATGGACCACGCAATTAACCACCAACTTATATAAACTGCATGAAATCATAGAAACGTTTTTCTAGTTTATGTAAAAAAAGGAACTTTCACTTTTGACTTCTATTTGCCAAATCTGACGAAGAACATAATATTGTAGTCTTTTTTCAATTTAAAAATTGTGAACAAAAAAATGTTGACAATTTTTAATTTTCAGAGGAATAAGGAAGATGCCATATAATTTTTTTAGAAAAAGATATATTACCTCACAATTGAATATGCGTAAATGGCCCAAAATAAAATTATATGTAAATTGTATGTGTATTATATGTGAATTGTATGCCCCAAAATAAAATTGTATGTGACGGTGCAATGTGAAAAATGATATAATAAAAAAGAACATTCAATCCAGCAAGTGGTTTAATAGTTACCATTCCTAACAGCACTGCGTTTCATCTACTGTTGGGCAGAATAATTAATGTTGCTCGAGTGGTGCGATAAACAGGACAACATGTCTCGAAATACCACGAATAACTGGAAAAATTTTATGAGGAAGATTTGTTCACTAGACTTTACTTCGACAACCTAAAGTAAGAATAGATGGGTCTGCAAAAATAGTTGAAATTGATGGGTTTCTTCACGTGACGAAAAAACAATGTTGGCAGGGAACTCCCACAACAGTGGATATTCAGCAGTTATGCTGTGAAAGTGGTGAGTGCTTTCTTGTTCCAGTTCCAAATCGAGAAGCAAGCACACTATTATCAATCATTGTAGACCACATAATAAGGATTGACAATATATTCAGATGGTTGGTGGAAATTCTCTGGGAAAGATGAGACTTTTGATGCCATAAAACATTGCGCAGATATGGTAACCACAAATTATATGCGAGTAGTTTAAACTTGCCAATGAGCTTGGTGATGTTTTGATAACGAGGGCCATGAAAATCGAGTAGTACCAATAATTTTCTCATATTCAATTATTCCTTTGTATTAATTAACTACTCATAACTACTACAAAATGTATCACCATTTTGGTTATATTATTATTTACTGTAATTTTCCTAGGCTATGCAATTGAAATTATCAGGGGCAGTTACTTCCCTAATTGCATAATTGTAATTAGCTACTGCAATTACAATCACAATTACACTGTAAATGTAATTATACTATACAGTTTAATTATGATGTGATTGCAATTACAATTGTAATTGTAATTAGACTTCACAAATACAATTACAATTTCAAGTACATGCTCCAATTGCATTTTGTCCAACTTTGAATTGCTAAGTCAGAAAATACGAGATAATTTAGATGCCAAAAATTAATGAAAAAAACTAATATGTCAGCATGATATTCTAATACCATATGAATAGACAGACATCAAAGTGGATGCAGAAGTTTTGATTTAAAAAGAAAAAATTATAATCATCTTTTGTTTTTTTGCTCACATTTTAATAATTTTCTTCTTGCCCTAATTATTTAATGAGAATTTTAAAACATTTGTCATCATTCTTAGTTCAAAATGTAATTTTATTAAACACATAATATAAAAAAATAGCTGCAATTATGCCCTTACTTCTGGTGTTTCTGCTGGACATATCATACCCCACAAGGTATTGTGCAACTGGCGAGGCTTTGCTAATTTACCATCTCTTCCAATTGGAGAATTTACACGTCTCAAATGGGACAAAGTTGAAGCAAATGTTAATCTATTCAATACCTAAATCATATAAGAATATAACAATAAAATTTAAAAATCAACTGTCAAGTTTTTGAAGCAAAAAACAAAACAAAAAAAAATCTGCTTAAAAACTAAGGTGATACAGTTCCATATTAAAACAGACAACTCACAGGTTTAAATAATCGAGTGTTTATTGATCTAATACAAATTTAAAAAATAAAATACAGTGACTTAAAACATTACCCAAAGTAAAAAAGTATTTTGATACATACACCAAATAACAGTACTTACTTTAAATAAATAAGTAAAATTTCTTTCTTTCTTTCAAGAAATGGCAATCACTATTTTCAAATTAAAATACAATAAACACAGCTGCCTAAATCCTTATTACAGAAATTTATAAAACTATTACTTTATGAAAATTAAGTGCAGATAATTTACATTTCTTTCACATCTGCTTTCCACAAAATTCTGATAATTCAAATTAAAGGGTATTACCATTTCTTAAAACAAACAGATTTATTAAAATACAAATTAATTCTTATAACTTTGAATTTCTATTGAACTACCTAAAAATGATTTACTATATTACTGCATGACATTACCAAAAAGTGTTTCTACAGAAGGATGCATGAAACATAACATTCAAAATGAGATAACTTGGGAATGTAAAAAATGTACAGTTGATTATCCCTACAGAAAAGAAAGTGTAGCATATTTTAAAAAATACATACCACCTTCTCCCCTCTTTGGTCATTCATATTTTTTGTTTGTTTGTTTTTTGTTTCATTTACTCATTGTGATACTATATAAACACTTCCAACCCCCCACAGTTCACGGTTTTATGATGTATATATGTAAAGCTTTATAAGAAAAGGAGCATTTATGACACTTGGACTTGAAATAGCAGATAATTATTACAGATGGTTGCATTAAAACAAGCACACGTTTTCTTAACTGAAAGGTTTTACCGATAAAATCTCCTGATTATTAAGCCAATAATCAAGAGGATCTGTATTATTCTAATTATAGTACTGTAGGAAATTTCAGTGTACTTTCTACTATCTACTCCATTCAGCAGTGGAAACAATAGTCTTTTTAAGGAAAAAATAGGACTCCTAATTTTGTTAGTTGCCAACAAAAAGGTCTAACATAGCACTGACTGATCACAGCTAAAATAAATAAAATATTGAAAAGGCAAAGCTGTCTGCTCTTTCACAAGAATTCAAGAACCAATTTATCAGAATCGATGATCTTATTCTTTGACATGTCATTTACAATGCACATATTGTGATTAATGAGAAGCATTAAAGAAAAAAGAAAAAGATAGGGAAAAAAGAAAAAGGTGGGCAGGATATGGGGAGGAAAGAAAGATTCAATAGACAGCAAGCATGTGAAGAATTAAGTTTCACAAACCATAGCCTAAGCAAACTATTTTAGCACATGCTTCCATTTTTGAAGCTAAAAAGCAGCAATTATGCAAGTTCAATGCAGATCTTATTATTAAGTTTCCACTCCAACAGGAAAATGAAATTCCCAGACTTTTCCAGGTTTTTCAGGTGTGTTTTAAGAAAATTCCAGTCTATCTGCATAGTGCACGATGGTTGGTGCTGAGATGTAAATTAATTACAGTACTACTTGAAAACATAAAATTTTGCCAATTGTGTACACATATAATCTCCAGAGCATTAGTATTATAACTATAATAAAAGTCATTTTCTCGACCAAAAATTTAAATTAGCATCTATGCAATCTGAATTTGAAAGTGTCTTTTTTTACTGACATTTTGCAGATAAGCAAAAGAAAGAACTAAATTGAATGATATTATTAAATAAATTCAGGTACAGGTAACCCTTGTGTAACACGGTAGATAGGCTCCTAGAAAATGCTGTGTTGTGTAAAACCATGCTGTATGAGACCTAGAGCATACTTGCCAACCTATGACGCTCAAGAATCAGGAGATTTTTTTAAGAAATTAGGAGATTTTTCACAATGTTAAAAAGACTTTTTAAATGATAAAAATATAGTTTTTAATAATGAATTAACTTAATATAGTAACTAATTCTTAAATGAAAGCAACACAAAAATACCTTAAACATAAAAAACATTTTTATTACTTGCATCGTTTAAGGAAACAACAACAACAAAAAAAAAAAAAAAAAGACACTTTAATCAGTTTTTGTACAAATGTTATGAACAGTGGCAGATTTTGCTTTCGTTACGAAAGAAACTTCATAATTTTGTTCATAGCATTGCCACGTAGGTCTGCTTTCGCTAATAAAAGTTTTTTAATGTGTCATCACTAATATTAAATCTAAATTTAGACCTTGTTTTCGCAACAAGACTGAAAATCCTCTCACACTCTGCATTACTATGTGGAACTGTCAAGATGGCCAACATAATTCTAGACAGTTCACTGTACATACTTTCCAACCTCTGACACTCAAAAATCAGATATTTTTAAGAAATCAGGAAATTTTTCACAAAATGATAAAAATATAGTTTTTAATAATGAATTAACTTTAAATAGTTACTAATTCTTAAATGCAAGCAACAAAAAAATACCTTATACATAAAAAACATTTTTATTACTTGCATCGTTTAAGAAAACAAAACAAAAAAAGACACTTTAATCAGTTTTCGTACAAATGTTATGAACAGTAGCAGATTTTGTTTTCGTATTCAGAATGTTATGAACAGTGGCGGATTCGTGCTTAGCTAAACTTACAGGAATCGGAAAATGTTTCGTGTGTTGAGCAATTTTTTTTTATTTTGAGAGAAATTTGTATCAGCTTTACGCTTATATTTTGCAGTATTATTTTGAGAACTGCCAGTTGAATTGCTGAAAGGTGCAGAAATTACTTTATTTTTCTCAAACCTATTTTTAACAATGTAAGTAGTAACTACACCTCCATTTACTTTAGGTATTTTATAACTTTCAATAGGGCCTTTTATCCTAACTCTTGAAGCATTTAATTCTTCTTTAAAAAATGCAAAAAGGTTCCATTGATTGAGGTTTCTAGATAAGCATTTCTTTAAAGACAGCCAGCGTGCACACACATATTTCAAAATTCTTCTCATTTCAGTATTATGCAGCTGTTGGCACTGTTTCAATTTTTCCTTCCTTTTAGAACTCCTTTCATGATAATAATAAATATCAACATTGTGTTCATCCACATTTATTGGTAAAGAAGCTGCCCCTTTTTCAGCTGCTCAGGGTTCGTACACATTTCTGCACACGGAAATTAAGGACTTTTAAGGACCATTAATGAAAAAATTAAGGACTTATGAGCAAATGGAAACTGAATAAATTCAATTAAAAATATTATTCTATGCCTGAATTTCACTTTTGTAATACCATCCTAAAAATAAAATAGATCCCTAAGTAGTATGCATTATTAATAAACATAAATTAACTAACATAATTATTAATAAGTTTGAGAATAAAATACATTTCATGCAGTTTATCAAATAGCATTAAATATTTTACACTTATAATAGTTGGACATATTTAAAAGAAGATAAGTGACATTTACGTTTTACTAGTAGTTAGCTTTATGCTTTTTTTTTTTTTTTTTTTTTTTTTTTTTTTTTTTTTTTTAGTCTAATTTTGTCACATAATTGGTCAGTCTAGAGGTTTAGGAAATAGAAGGGAGATTTTATGTCAAACGGCATAGGTTAAAATGAGAAATGACATCATAATCAGCATGATTCATAACAAAAGACTGAATGTTGTCCCTCTGCTGCTTGTCTATAGAGAGACCTGCTGATTGGAAAACCTGAAAGGCCTGATGTAGGCACAGTTGGCAAGTGTTGAAGTTAGTCAAGCTCTGCTTAATGCTGTTAATGTCATAGCTTTGTGTAGAGTTCCAGGGGTTGTAACCCAGTTAATATACTTTAAGGTTCCAATAAGCCATTAAAGCGCCAGAGGTGACAAGTTGTTTTATATATAAGTCTCAGTAGATGCAAAGAATAAGTTTTACTTGATGGTGTTGATTGCTATTTGATGGGTGATGGTTACTTGATGGGTTCTCCACACAAAGGATTTGGCAATTGAATGCCCTAAAAACCCCAGTCGCCGTTTAAAAGGGGGGAGTATATAAGGCATTTCTTCCACCTTCTTGGCGACCCTTCGTGGTGTAGTTGTTTGCACACTGGTAGCGGTATTTCAGAGGTCAGCGGTTCGATTCCCGGCGAAGGCATTGTTAATTTTTTATCTTTCCCGCTTTCAAAAATACCTAATGTCTCTACAAGCCTTCCCAAACATTTTGGCTAGTTTATATCAATTTTCTTCTTTTTAATTATCGATCTTTTCTGACAATAATTAGAAATTTGTCTCAATATGCAAACCAATGTTCTCACTAGTTTCTGTGTGTCCTAACTTGTCAACCTCTCCACGTTGTACCTGTGAGGGTTTACTTGATCTGGTAAAAGTTAAATAGTCCCCCCCCCCGATAGACGTGAAGCAAATTATCACTGTATCTAAAAGTAACTACAATATCAGAAGGCATGTTCTGATGCTAACAAAGTCAATTACAGCTCATGGTGACGTAATTAAACAAGAACAGTCAAATTCAAACTAAAAATGTGGACTAGTGATCAAAGATTATACAATTTAATTTTAATTTAATCTGGCTCAGTAACTCTATCATATGAGGAATCAGAAGTGGGAAATTATAGTAAAGGCTGAAATGATAAACAATTGGGTAATTTACATAATAATAACTGCACATATCTTTGAAGAATTATTTTCTTTATATATTCGGTTTCTTTCTTCAACGTGTTTCCTTTTAATTTTAGAATTTTTGGATTTAATTAAGGATTTCTGTTATTCTAAAAAACACTAAATGCATTTAGAATGTACAGAAAAAACGGCTAATTTAATTTTTAGTAATATGAATATTCAGAAGAAATATGAAATATATATGGTAAAGGCCTGTTACAGAGCAGGGGTGACAGAATTTTTAGAATTTAGTGACACACAGAACAACAAAATCTAGAAATGGCAAAACTTTTAGAATTTAGAGCAGGCAATGGAA